ACAGAAACACCAGCATTTACTTCAGTGTGCCCTCTTGAAGAGTTGATGTTATTGGTTCTTGCAAATTCATAAGATTTGATAGCAAATGCAGGGCAAAACACCATTTCCCCCCTCCATTAAATGAGCTGAAAATCTTTTAAGTTTCAGGCACATTTCTCAAGAAGGTTAGCTATAACTTACGCAAGCAAAATTTCCTACATTCTCTTGGCTACTTTTACTGATAAGAAGCACAGAAGGGAGTGAAGAGCTGGCAGAGATAAATGAACTGTAAATGTTTTTTCATCTTCTCCTTTTACAGAGTGGCCAAATGTGTATATATCTTAGCAGGGTAGACTTTTACTTTAGAGTGTGTTTACCCTTCTATGTTGCTCTAACATTTCTGAGCACCTCTTATTTCTACATGTAGGAGGGTGGAGTTTATGCTGCAGCAGTCACATTATCACATTATCATTCGTGCTCCCTCTTGCCTCCCCATTGGCATGTCTACACACCAATTCATATAGTACAAAGTTGTGATGGAATGTGCATCTGCGACAGCAGTGGAGGAGGATTTGGCCAAGAGACTACATAGTCCTGAGCTGGATGGGGAAGGAGGGAAGAACCGCAGATGCTGTCAGGATATGTCTAGTAACAGGTTAGAAAGTGATAGCTTTAATTTGGCAAGATTCTGTCTATTAGGTATAAGCAAATAAAGGAATTGACTCAATAGATTTCACTATCATGAAATGGGCCCGATAAAAATACATTTTTTTTGAACTTTGAAGTTTTCCCCTCTTTTTCTGAATCTCATCAATCTGTTTCATGGTGTACCTTTCCTCTCAATCCAGTTTCCTTCAGATAGTTGTTTTATGGCTCCAAGACTGTTCATTGTCTCTATTTGGTTAAACCATTTTAATATACCTCTTTGTACTGGTTAGTCACTTTTGTGCTCATTCATTCCTTCATTCATTCTTGAACCTATCTTTTATTTTTCCCTGCACAAACATCTGAAATACCATTGTATTCAACTTATTATCATGTTTCTCCTGATACATGAAATTCTCAATTCTATGTAACAATGTAGGCTGAAAGTATGTTTTTACACAAAATCATTTTTATTTCATTCAAAAAAGATTTGCTTTTCAATTCAATCAGTATTTGCAGCTCCTAGTAATTCTCCATCTATTTCCTTTTTCACATTAGACAATATTACACTAAGATATATAAGCCCTTCTACTTGTTCTAGGAATTTTTTTGCCATTTACGTAATTATTCACTCAGTTTTCCGGTCTTTGTGGATTAATTATCTTGTAAATTTTGCACTCATTTGTTCTACCAATGGCATTTTTCTCATCTTCAGGCACAGGAGCATAATTTGCATTCAGATTAAACAATCAGACTAGCCACTCCATAAACAAACTATATCAGTATTTTAACTTTTACAATTTACACTTTCAATCTTGCCATTTTTCAACATTCTGATATCATGTGTTCTTTTCACCACTTTTTCTCAGGCACTAAACTTTATTTTAATACTATTTTTGTTAAATCCCATACAATTTGAGTTTCATCTCAAATTGCATTGTCACCTTATTTTTAATTTCATGTGCTCTGCTGCAGATTTCAGTTTAGTCCTCTTCACCTACATCCAAAACAGTTCTTTATTTTCTTCCGAATTGCTCTGCCTGTTTCTTTCCCTGATTTCATCTTATCTATTTTTTGGGTTTCTGACAACATTCTTTACAACTCTCCTTTTTTTCTCAATATACCCATTATGCAATATTTTCTCCGATCTTCATTTTTGTGTGTGTTATTTGTCACCCTCTTTCATTTCTTTCATTGCATCATTCATTGCATCTTTCATTTTATCATTCCACCAGGCAGGCTTTTCATATCCTTCCCATTAATCTAATGCATTTCTCTGGCACTCTGTAATATAATTCTTCTCACATGTTTCCAATCAGCTTTCACATAATCTTTCCATTCATTGGGTTGGAAAATTAAATTATCTTTTAACACATTTTCATACAGGACTTATATTTTCCTCTTCCTAAGTAATTCTACATTCTCTCTTTTTTCTTCCATGTCCATTCCACCCTCCCCCCAAGATTAATTCTTATGAATTATAAAAAATGGTCTCTCTCTCATTTAGAACCTTTTATCACCCTCACCAATTATCTTTTAAAATCATAAACAGTAAAGTCAATCATATATTTGTGTTATGTCCCACCTTCTAAAATAAACAGTTAAGGCTGAAAGCAGCA